TGAGCAATACTTAAGGTACTAACCTGGTAGTATTTTCAGTACCTACAGGTAGGTACTGGCCAGTCATTGTCTTCAATCATCTATCTCCATCTCTCACAAAGTCACCATGAACCAGCAAAGAGCCCGTCCCATTCAGAAGTTTGCTAAAGCAGTCTCACAATGCTCTGTCGAGGTCTGAATTCTCTTGTCATACATGCACCAAATCACTAAAAATCCGGTAGGCTACGGCATATGGCCAGTGTATCGTTGCCGACTATAACGCTGTCCACAAGGATAAGTGTGCCAAAGAGTTTATGAGGCTCAAAGATTGTTATTTAGTATGTCCTCCTATTCATTCGCTTTTAACGGCGACAAGTCTGACACTGTCACTGAAGGCTGCATCTAAGAAAACATGATGCACTCATATAGCCACAAACAATACACTTTGATCGAACCTTTTGTTTAATACTTAATCTCCTACATAAACTTCAATTTTATTCCCCAAAGATTTACAGCTTGAGTAATCTCAACAAAAATGTTGCCTGTTGGACCTCTTGCTCCTCCTCAGCGATAAGTCCCTCAGTCTGTGGTTCTGCTCCAGTCTCTTCTAGTGGTCGGCGCAGGATCTTCTCAAACACTGGATTCTGGGACTTGAAAGCACCAGACAAGCCAATATCTTCAGGGTCTGCAATGACGCGGTACTCCATCTTGATGTCGTCCGTTGGCACGAGACCCGCCTTCTTTCGAAGCCTCTGTACACGGTTGATGATCTCACGTCCTAGACCCTCAGCTGCCAGCTCGGGGTGAATCTCAGTGTCCAGAATGGCGAGCACATCGCTATCAGTGTTGATCTCCAAGTTCTTGGAAGACTCATCCTCCTTAATACCTCTGCGTACAACAAGATCGCCCTCTTCCAGACGAATCCCGTCAACAAAGATCTCCTTGTCACGGACGTATCCTTGGACCTGCTCGCTGGTAAGGAGAGGCAGTCCCTTCTTTACGCGGGCCATGTCCTTCTTGAGCTTCTTTCCAAGAACAGGCCAGTCGGCAGTGACGCTGTATTGAACGTTGTACTTGGCTTCGTCGCTCGAGAGCACGAGGTCTCGTACATTCAACTCCTCGCTGATATACTTCTCAAGGGACCTGACATCCTCAAGATATTGAGGATCAGAGTGAATGACCACCAGTGTCTTGAGAGGCTGCTTGAGACCAATGGTACGGCGTTCACGCGATACACGAGCAAGTTCAATGACACGCTGCATGCGACCAACACGTCGCTCCACCTCCTCATCAAACAGCTCTTCACGGACATCGGGGAATGGCAGGAAGTGCACACTTCGGGGATCCTCGCTTTGGAGCTCCTTAGGAATATGAGGTAGAAGCTTGAGGTAGATGTTGTCAGTAAGGAAAGGGGTGAAAGGTGCCAGTCCACGGCACAAAGTGAACAGCACCTCAAAAAGGGTATTCAGGGCATGGAGGGTATCGTCGAGACCATTCTCTCCCTTGAGTCGCTTTCGGTTGAATCGAATGTACCAGTTTGTTGTGCTGTCAATGAGACCAAGGAGCCTGGGTACGACAGTGTACAAACGGTATGAGGCCATCTCCTTGTTCACGAACTGAAGAAGGCTTTGGCAAACTGCCAGAACCCAGCGGTCCATGACATTGGTATTGGTTGACTCCAACTTAGGATCCCAGACGAAGTCCACGCCTTCTGCCTTCTTAAGCAGAGCAACTTGGCCCTCGAAGAACTTGTAGCTGTTCCATAGCGGCAAAAGGACCTTCTGGACGACCTCCTTGACGCCAGACTCCTTGAAGCGGAGGGGCTCGGCTCGCACGACAGGTGAGTTGATGAGGTAGAGTCGAAGAGCATCAGAACCGTATTTGGACATGACAATAGAAGGGTCAGGATAGTTTTTGAGACGTTTCGACATCTTCTTTCCATCCTCCGCAAGCACAATACCGTTGACAACACAGTTCTGGAACGGCGACTTGCCAAACAGGTGAGTTCCCAGCACTGTCAGCGTGTAGAACCATCCACGGGTTTGATCCAGACCCTCAGCGATGAAGTCCCCGGGAAACGACTGATTGAACTTATCAACGTTCTCGAAGGGGTAGTGTTGGCTGGCATAAGGCATGCTCCCAGACTCGAACCAGCAGTCAAAGACTTCCTCGATACGCTTCAGTTGACCCTTGCCCATCTTGCTGGGGATAGTGATATGATCAACTTTGTCGCGGTGAAGATCAGACAGATCACCGTCATATCCACTTAGTTCACGAAGCTCTTGAACACTTCCGATGCACACTCTCTCCTCCAGATCATCACTCACCCAAAGAGGGATGGGGGTACCCCAGTATCGGTTTCGGCTCACGTTCCAATCACGAGCGTTGGCAATCCAGCTGGCGAATCGCTTCTCCTTGACAAATGATGGAACCCAGTGGGAACCCTCAATGTTCTTGAGCATGTCGGGAACGATGTTTGGAATGCGGATGAACCAAGATGGAACAGCCCTGTAGATAAGGGGAGTATCGGAGCGAGGGCACATGGGGTACGAGTGCTTGAGCTGAGACTCATTGGCGATGCGGCCGGCGTTCTTGAGGTGCTTGATGATGTGCTTATCAGCCTCCTTCACATGCAGGCCCTTGAAATCGGAGATTCGGTCAGTGAAATGACCGGTGTCGTTGACGGGGTCAGGGGGTGGTCGCTTCTCGGTAATGATACCTGCAGCTGCGGCAACATTGTAATCGTCCTCACCGAAAGCCGGTGCCTGGTGGACGATACCCACACCACTGTCGTCTGTAACATAGGTTGCGTTCAACACCTTGAAGGCAATGTCCTTGAAGTCCTCGTAAAAGTATTCGAAGGGAGGGGTGTATCTCCATCCCAGCATATCCTTGCCGAGAACTGTTCCGAGCTTCTTGAATTTAGCCTTCTTGGGATCCTTGTATAAGGTACCAAGGAGCTTCTCGAGAAGGATAAAGGTCTTTCCTGTCTTCTCGTCCAGAATCTTGACATACTCGAAGTCAGGGTGAGCTGCGAGACCAAGATGCGATGGCAACGTCCAAGGGGTGGTGGTCCAGGCAAGTAGGTTGACTTCAGGATCGTCGACAAGAGGAAATGTGACGACAACTGCAGGATCAGTGACATCTTGGTAGTTCTGGTTGGCCTCGAAATTGCTCAGGGCGGTGGTGAGAACAGTAGAGTAGGGCATAACTCGGTGTCCTTGGTAGACCTGGTCCTTGTCGAACAGTTGCTTGAAAACCCACCATTCAGACTCCATGAACTTGGGGTCCATAGTCTGAAAGAGCGCGATTAGCTATCTGGCTGGGTGTAGATAGAGTGTATGCTTCTTTACCTTGTAATCGTTGTCGAAATCAATCCAACGTCCCAAACGCTCAATGGTGTGTCGCCATTCGCCGGCATATCGCATGACAATGGATCGACACTCTTCGTTGTACTTGGCGATACCGAGTTCCATGACGGCAGCCTTTCCAGAAATTCCCAGCTTCTTGTCAATCTCATGCTCAATGGGCAGACCGTGTGTGTCCCAGCCAAAACGTCGCTCGACGTGGTAGCCCTTCATGGACCAGTAACGAGGGATAACATCCTTGATGGTGGAAGCCAAAAGATGGCCGTAGTGAGGCAGACCGGTCGCAAAAGGAGGACCATCATAGAAGGTATATCGAGGGCGTCCTTCGGACAGTTCAACTTGTCGCAGGAAGGCATCGATTTCCCGCCATCTTTGGATGATGGTCTCCTCTTCTTTCGGGAAGTCGATCGACATGATTGTGGTGGTTCACCTGTGGGAGGAGGGGTTAGTGGACAAAGTTTTGAACGAGGTGATCTGAGGGATCATAGAAGTGGCGTAGTCGTGTTCAAGTAGGTAGCTCGGGGAATGGACAAGAAGAAATGTTTTGACTCACCGGCGATGCCTTGAAAGTGTCACTACCTAAGGTATCTGCGACAACCCGTTGATGGAGGGGCAAGTTTAAGAAAAAAGGCAGCTCACACCCGCCCGTGCTGGTGGGTGAGTCAAGCAAGAGCAACGGAACCGGAGGTGGGGTCCAATTTGTGCCCCGCGTCTAGGTAAGGTACCTGTAGGTAGGTCAAGGTACCTTCTTAGTTTCATGGAGGGGTTGAAGGGTTCGATACCCATCATAATCACAACACTCTCTGTCCATAATTGCTTATTATAAGCGTAAACAATGAATGCTAATGGTTCAAACTAGGATTAATTCACATATAAAGCACCTCAAACACCCTAACCACCTTACCTGAGTTTTAAAGGTTGTCTTTAAGCAATTCTAGTCGACCAGCATAACACTTACCTACTATCCCATCAAGAGGTGACATAAGACCGCCGACACCGGCAGATAATGGATGTACCTATGGCCTCAAATGGTACCATGGCCTATGAATCTTGGTAGTTTCTAGACCAGTTTACAAAGCATCTGTAAGATTTGATGCATTGCAACCAATTTCTCTCTTCAGCAATGGCACTAATCATAGGTCGGGTCTCATCATTGACTGAGATTCCTGTTACTCAAAAGCCAAGTTTACAGCGCTCCAGCACTAAAACGACCAGGGCTTGTTGGTGCGTGCGTGGTTGCTGCCCGCCACAAAGCAAAGCAAATAGGGTCGAGCTTGATGGAGTGTTTGTTTATTATATTCCTGCTTGGTTTTTCCAACATCAACCCACTCTGGTATGACTTTAGCATACATGTTGCCGGCGTCTGTATCTCATCCTTCCGCTTCGATCCATTGTAATTGAGGTGAATAGCCCCTGTGTTAGGTTCTCAAGGGAGCTAGCTACTAACTTACTCGCCGCTATTCGGTTCTGAAACCAAAACACTAGGTACCTATCGATAACAAACCTGACGTCGCAAGACCGTCAGGTGCATACCATACCATTACCAGCAACTAACTCACTTTACACAAACAACACTCTGAACCGTGATAGGTTCTTGTGTCGCTGTGATACCTTTGTATTCATTCTTCCACAATCGCATTATAATCTCGAACCATGTCGTTCCTGTTTGGAAGAGCCCGTACACGCACAGTAGCCGATCTCCCCAAGCAGGCCCGCGAGCATGTCTTGAAGCTCGAGGGGCCACAGGGCCCTTCCAAGGTAGCAATCATATCACCTCACCTCGATTCAAGGTCAAACATTAACACTGACTCTGAAAGGCCGAAGAGCTTGCCCGAGTCTTGAGCCAGATGAAGACTATCCTGCAGGGAACTCCCGGTACGTTGCTTCGCCTTTCCCCACGAACCCCTGACTGTATGGCTAAGACATCTTGCAAGAGGCCGATACCTCTCCAGAACAGATCTTACAGCTTGTGACTGGTCTCATCGACGAAGATCTCCTCCACCTCCTCGCCGTCAATCTCTTTCGTCTTCCATTCGAGTCACGTAAAGATACACAAGTCATATTCTCCTACGTCTTCCGTTTCCGCCCCGCCACCGCCGCCCCCAAAAGCGACCCTCTCGCACTATCATACGTTGTCTGCAATCGACCCCAGGTTCTAGTTGAGCTATGTCGAGGGTATGATCACAAAGAGAGCGCTACGCCAGCAGGTTCAGTCCTACGAGAGCTGCTCAAGAATGAGGCCGCTGCGGCAATCATTCTATACGACGACGGAGACGAGCCAGGCTCGAGTTCCAAGGGTCTGAATGCCATTGACCGTGATCGACCCCAAAGTGGTAGGGGCGTGTTCTGGAGATTCTTCGATTGGGTTGATAAGAGCTCCTTCGAGGTGGCAGCAGATGCTTTCACCACTTTTCGAGTGAGATTGGGTTACGGTACCTGAATTACTTTCTTCTGCTGATACATACTGTAGGAACTCCTAACACGCCACAAGGACCTTGTACCAAGATACTTGAACGCAAACTTTGAACTCTTCTTCGACAAGTACAACAACATCTTGGTGCAATCCAACAGCTATGTGACCAAGCGCCAGTCCATAAAGCTTCTCGGTGAGATCTTGCTTGATCGCTCCAACTATAACGTCATGACTGCCTATGTTGATCGCGGGGAGCATCTCAAGATATGCATGAACCTGCTACGCGATGATAGGAAAATGGTTCAGTACGAGGGCTTCCACGTATTCAAGGTCTTTGTTGCAAACCCACACAAGTCAATTGCCGTCCAGAAGATTCTCCTCATGAATCGCGATAAGCTTCTCACTTTCCTCTCTCACTTCCTCGAGGATCGGACAGATGACGAGCAGTTCATCGATGAGAGAGAATTTTTAATCAAGCAAATCCGCGGCATGCCCTCAGTTCCCGTTGCTCCTCAGCGGTAATCGTATTCATGCTGCATCGCCTACTTACTCTGGACAAACATGTTCTCACTATACCATTTTGCACTCGTGCGGCGTTTTCAATGCTTTTCTTGCAACCGACAGCGATTCATGAGGCCAAGGAGCACAGTTATCTATTCATCACGATGGCATAGCATGATTTGCAGTTTTGTCTTCTTTTTTTTTTGGTCCCTACAGTACTTGTGTTGAATACTCCTGGCGGAAGCATTGATTGCAACCAGGCTATGCATGTCGTTTCGCCGATCTTGGTTCATGATATTATTATACAAAAAGACGCTCCCAACGCCCCCTTGCTCCCCGAATGTGGCCAATTAAACATGACACAAACTCTATAACTCCAATTTGTTTGTCAACAAGTGCCGTCCTGGCGTGTTGCCGCTTTCAGGTGGATGCTTATCGTTGCTGCTTTGAGAGCAAGACGTTAACACTCTCTCGCGCATTTTGAGTAGCCCAGACGCTATCTTTTCCACCACGGCGCCACTCGTCACCCGATGCATGCTCTCCACCTCCTCTGGGCGCTTCTCCCATAATGACCTCGAGGTCTCTTTTCTGAGAACTTAGCCAGTTCTTGATAAAGTTGGTAGGATCCTTGCCAAGAGACTGGAAGAACGAATGCTTGGCCTTCGACACGGCGATCGCTTGAACCACCTTGGCGAGCTGGTCGTCAAGCCCCGTCACGTCCTTGAGCATTGCAATGTACTGAGGGTTGTTGAGCATAGGCAAGAGAGTATCACGTAGAGGATCGTCCACAGGAACTTGGACGTCATAGATCGTGGGCTGGGGATCCTTGTGAAACTCCTGGTCAACTCGGATGGTGTATGGCAAGCGAATTGGCTCCAGAGGTCGCAGGTGTTGCTGGACATACTCGTTGAGCAAAGGGATGTGTCCGATGTCGCCCTGCCTTATAACCTATGGTAATCGTCAGAGCCAAGTCAATATCAGCAGAGGTATATGCAAAAACCAACCTTCTTGAGAGGCTCATTGCACCGGAAATTGCGCTTCTCCTCATCTTCCTGTAGTCCAAGTAACTTGATGTACTCCCAGAGAGCCATGACAGCCTCTTGATGGGTAGCATCTTTCATATCAACCACTTCGGCAAGCTCAGGGGTCAGTTGGTATCTCTCGGGTGTCTCCTGACGGAACAAGTTGATAGTGATGTTTTGGTTTTCGTCTCCATTTCTCTTGAAGGTGAGTTCATCGAAATCAGCGGCTGCTGGAAGGTTGGCAGCTGGTTGGTTTCGGGCCGGAGCATCTGGCTTCTTCCATTCCACTGTCTGTTCGGCGCCTGTTCGGAACCGAGATCGGTCGAAATCGACTGTCAAAGACTTGAAGAAGTGCGAGAATCGGGGTTTCTCTTGTGCTTTGGACTTCAGTGCTGAGTCGTCTGTCCCCTTTCCTTCTTCTGTGGTTGACTCCTGTTTCTTGGGCTGCTCGGTCTCCTCGTCTTGATCGTCGAGTAGACGACCTTCAATCTTGACTCGGTATGACGCCTCCATGCTAGGGGTAAAGTCAAACGAATCAGAGTTCAGTCCATTGCTCTGCCAGATTTGATCCTCGACCGTGTTGTTGATCCAAACTCGCAATGTTTTGTATCTCTGAACCATGAATTAGTTGGTTCCTCCCATTAAACGTATTGTTGTCGAACACACCTTGGATCCACGGCTGGTATAGTCGACAATGTCCAGACGCTTTCGTGTGATAGTAGCATCAATTCGACGTTCGACATCTCGCAGTTCTTTGTACCGCTGAACACCGTCTGGATCAACAATGCTGTCCTCAACTCCATCGGGAATGTTTTTATCTGTAGGCTTTCGACTACGTCGCTTAGCTAGCTCACTGGCGTGAGCCTGAACCTGTTGTTGCTGAGCAATCTGTGCCTGGGTGAGGGGAACCGAAGGGTGAGGCCCTGAGGACATCATGGGCCCTGAGAAGGCGTCCATGTTAGTAGATGATTGATAAACGTGGTTGGGTTGCGCAAAGGATGGGGGATGGGTTTTAAACGTACCAATTCCACCACGTCGCTGATTTGTCGCATGAGGCGAGCGTTGCGGAACCTGCTGCGCATAAGCACGATACTGAGGCTGCATTTTACCGAGAAAAACAAAGTCTTGTGTTGGGGTTCGGTAGGTGTCGGCTGGTGGGATTACAGGTTGATCGTGTCGCGTCGCATCGCATTGCTGCGTCGCGAGAAAACGGTAACCACCAGGACCTTAGCTTAGGTAGTTCCTTACCTAACCTTATTACTCATCCAGTCACGTGACCAGTTTCACCTTCAACGATACCATAAGTCGTTCATCCTTTTTGTGTGTACCTAGGTAATTGAATATGATTTATATCTAAGAAATGCTGATGTCTCTGAATGGCACTGGACATGATCCAGTTCCACAGCTCTAGAAAGGGTGATCTGGGCTTGATCAAAAACCGAATACCATCCCTGTCTTGATGGATTGGTTCTTCATATATCAGTAAAGCCTCGGAACAACGAGTGCCCAACCCTCGTCGCCCTACTATAGTTCCTATCTATAGCCCCTACATTCCTGACTAGCCTTGCCTTCTGAATAGGATCTCAGGAAATACAGGGTGGCATTCAGGGCTGTCAAAACCGGCTGGAGTTGATACAGTGCTCACACCAAACACACCACCACTTCTCCTATCCCGAGCATACTTGAAGATACTGCACCGGTGCAGTCTTGACCTCAGCCTCCAGTACTTTTGCGGCTGTTTTCCCCAAAAATCAACACGAGAACATGTAGGATGCTCGAAAACAGTTTTCCGACAATGGCGTAATCCTATCTGGTGGTCCGGATTGCGCTTCCTCAATTCGAGAAACCTTGCGTTTGGGAACCCATCAAATAATTACCATTTGGCGGCTCTGGCCATCCTTCCTCCACAACGCTGAAAACAAAATGCACCCCAAAATAATGCACTGCCAGTCCGCTCAGATGAATAAAACTCCGCAATTAAGACGCCGCGCTCTCGATGCCATGAACGTACTGAATGTGATCGATGAGAGGCAAAAATGACAAATGTCTTCGACTGTAAGAATCTGAAACTCGTCGAGATCCGAGTTCGTTCGCACCATTTCTTCGTTCAGGACCCTTAGAATGCAGATCCTAGCCCGTTCCTCGATTGTCTCTTGCTGAAGCGGTTGCGTTTTGGCGCGGGATCTTCACTGTTCCCCTGATTCTTACTCAGGTGGTTTCGTCCCTGTCGGTCACTGAGCCCGAAACCATCTGAATAGTTCCCTGGGCCCCCCAAAGTACTTGATGGACTTGAAACCTGAGACGACATGTCGGCAAATCCACTATCACCACCATAAGAGGTGGTCATGTTCTGAGACAGTGCCATGTCCCTTGCCCTCTCGAGACATTCAACCCAGTCAGCGGCAGCGGAGCCACCTTCTTGGGGTGTGGATGAGGACTTGGCCTCTTCAAATGTGTAGTGGTGGCCGCCCTGCAGAGAGACGTCAGTGCGCTGACTTAAAGACACAAACCCAATCAAGATTCACTTACTGTATTGACACACCACACCATTTGACCCTTCGCGTCCACCTGGGTCTTCCAGGTGCAATCTGAGCCAAGTAGAGACAACTCCTGCTTCGCTCTTTTCTCCTCTCCGCCAGCAGGAGCAAGGACAATTCGGCCGCTAGATGTGATCATTACCAGGCGCTGACGCTTCTTAGTAGTGCTGCCGATAAAGAAACGAGACAACTTCTTATGTCCTTCTCCTGGTTCTTTTCCGTGGGGACTTGAAGGTAAAGGCGTCGAGACCACCATGAGATCGCCCAACTTGAGAATGCGCTCGTTATTCTTAGTCAAAACAGGCGACCATTCAATGTCAAGCTGTGTCGGGGGGGGGAGTTCGGTTATTATTCTCGATGGTCGATTGTTCCCGTTGGAGGGAATGGCTTGGGATTGCTGTGGAGGCCTGGTGTTAGACGAGGTGGAAAAGCCGTTGAGCTGAATAACTTGAGGTTCCTGGGGGGGGGGTATATATGGGCGGAGACGGGGTGCCTTGGTCCTCCAGAGTCCTTTTCCGAATGGATGTCCATCGAAGAATTCGTGGTTTTTAATGTGCTCGACCGTGAGACGTCTGGCTGGTTCAAGGACCAAACACCGCTCCACGAGGTCTCTGGCTGCTGGTGGAAAGCCAGGGGGGAATTCGTATTCAAGATTTACAATCTTCTGAAATGTGAGATACTCACTGCCTCCCTTGAAAGGAGGTCGGCCAGCCAAAAGCTGGTACACAATGCAGCCGAAAGCCCACAAGTCGCTAGCCTTACAGGCGTTCTTGTGTGTGAGAAGTTCAGGGCTCACATATTCAGCGGTACCGACAAATGATGCTGCACGACTGTCATCGTCCTTTCCAGGATCTGGCGCACCGCTGGCTGATGCGGCTGATGGGTCTTCGCGTGGATCTCTGAGCAGTTTAGCAGTTCCAAAGTCCGTAATTTTGACGTGCATCTGGTCATCCAACAAAACGTTTTCGGGTTTCAGATCTCGATGAATTACACCCCGAGAATGCATGTAGTCAATGGCGTCGAGAATTTGCGCACCATAGAACCTGGTGCATTCAATATCGAAGGTGCCTGTCTTCTTCAAAACACCCAAGAGCTCTCCGCCATTGCACAAATCGAGGACGTAGTAGAGTGATGTCTCGTCCTGAAATGTATAGTATAGCCGGACAATTCCGGGGTGCTCAGTAAGTCGGTTTAGTGTGTTCTTTTCGATGTTGACATATTTGATCTTCTTCTCCTTGATGATATGCCTCTTTTCGAGTACCTTCACGGCGTATTCTTTGAGAGTTTGGCGATCTGTCGCCATGTAGACTGTACTATAGGAGCCCTCGCCAAGAACTCGCCCGAAGGAAAAGTCGCGGACGCCCTTTTTGACCTGGCGGACAACGGTACGTCCATTTGCATCAACCTCTCTGCGGACCCCAACAGCCGCTCCACGCTCCTGCCAGTCCTCTCTGCTGTTTGGGACCGGCGCGTCACCTGCGTAAGGCTGGTTCTGCTGTGGTCCGCCAGGACCAGATGCATAGCCAACCCCCATACCTCTTGAGCTCCTTCGAGGGGGCAATGGGCTGCCACCAGACATTAAACCTGATACTGGTCGGCTTGGGTTGTTGAAGCGATGGGGGTCTCGTCGGCTGGACTCTCTCACGGGATACGAGGGGTTTGGGCCAGGTTCTGGCACACTGGAAATGCCGTAAACGGAGGACCTCGATGGCTCGATTTGAGATGGCTGCGGATGATTTACGGAGGGGCTTGGATCGGAAGTAGGGTCGGAAGGTTGAGCGGATGGGGTAAGACGGGGATCTGTAAGTGAGGTTTCGACACCGGCATCTATAGGGTCGAGGCGGATTGCATCATAGGATGAGGGCGTGGTGGATGTGGTTGTCGGTTGAGGCGTAGAGGGGAGGGCTGATGTTGAAGTTGAAGCGGAGATGGACGTATTCTGAGCAGTCGAGTCAGGCCCAGGAGGAGAAGTCGAAGATGAGTTAACAGCCTCAGCAGCATCGTCAGGATTGGCGATGCGCAGTCCGCCCAAGGCCTGAGAAAGGCTCAGGTCCCCATTCATGGTGGGCGATGGAGGAGCCTGGGGCAGATGCTCAGGGGAAGTGGGCAGGCTCAAGCTCGACTCGCACGGGGAGGAGAAACGCGAGTCGTGAGCAAGGGACGGTCGGCCACTGGCGGCGGCTTGGACCGTGGAGCATCACCGATGGATGTTGAGCAGGGCTGTCCAGGAGAGGAATCGACGGGTAAGGTAGATGGGAGTATGCGAGCGAGGTCGGTTTGTGAGGTTAACAATAATAAATTAAATCCCGGATTGTTGCGTCGTTGCGTTGCGTTGCTTTGCGTTGCGTTGCGCTGGTGGCTGCAGTGGTAGTGCTGTAACGAAACTGATAAAGTATAGCAGGCCCGTCCGTCAGCCAACAGCACCTAGCAAAATAGAGGTACGAGGCCCCAGTCTAGATTACGAGAGTCCAGAGAAGCGAGAGACGCCTTAGGCCACCGCCAACCTTGTCTTTAAGCCCAGGTATAACACCTCACCTGAGGTAGAGGCTTTGTTTGCTGGGATGATGCACAGGTAAAAGGAGAGACTGCAAGCCCCCAGTGTTTTTTGCAAGGTGCCTTACCTTGTCCTGTACTCCGTACCTGTCTTGTATTTTGGTGCGAGGAGCACCGGCCACGAATAGATTATCTATCCTGAGTCAATCTCTAATTCACTAACGTACTAGGTGTACTCACTCAGTCAGGTATAGAGTTTGAGGTATGGACTTAGTAGTTGGCAAACTCGAATATCGACCTGAGAGCACGGTCTGCGAGATGTCCTGGTCACTGTTGCAAAATGGCTGGTCCGTAGTCTGGGCAAAATGCTGGCTTCGATACTTTTATGCCAAGGATAACGACCTAAACATCGGATCTGGTTCAGTTTAAATAGGTAGGTACCTACCTGAAGAGATGGTTTGGGTACAGAAGCACTTGTCCCCGTCTATCCCGTCGTGGCGCTAAAAATATACCTACCTCTACTAACCTACTAGATATTCAACAAGCACAGCAAATTGCTAGTGAGAACATTTCACTAACGCAGACATGGAGACGACGATATCCAGGATCTATGCCTCGGTGCTGTTCAACAATCGCGATTCCCAAAAATAGAATTGATGTAGTAGGTGAGTGCGGATGCCATTCTGTCCGTGGTCTTGGGACTCATCCTGTTTCAAGACATTTTAGGTAGGATATCCGTAGTGGAGGTAATTAATCAATACTTTTGAGGCCGTAAAGCGGTGATACAACAATATTGCATAGGACATTTACTATCACGATTTGTATAACAATAAACACATTCATGTTGTGTTTAACTTATTGTTCTAGGTTATCAAACATCGTAGTGCTTTCCATTTCCATGTGGTAAATATTAGGTATCTCCCCTCAATCTGAGAAGCATCATTGATTCCACGTATTGATCAGATGCACAATCATGACAATATCATTGCTGAATTACAGGGTTCACTGCAAATGCCGATATCATATCGTACGAAACATGGTGATCTTTCTTGCATGCATATCGATATCATTGCCATCACTTGGTTCTTCCAGCGCGGCGCAGCACCTCGTATCAGCCAGAAACCACGTAAATTCCAAGCTGTATATGTAAATGGAGTCTCTCGTGATGGATAGCCGCGTAATAGGGACGCCATATCGGATTATCTACACTGCTGGATAATGGATTTTGTTTCTAATTAGCCACGTAGGTGGGTAATGAGTTATAAAGGACGTTATCCACCACATCTCAGTATCTCTTGCTGGGGGCTGAGTAAGTACTTTCATAAGTGTGATGTCGTCAGCCTCCTACCTATCGAATCATGGAAGCACCAAAGACAGGGCATTGAGGGAATGAGGAACCACGAAGCCATAGCTTATGACAATAATCAGAGAACACTGTTGAATTTCACCGCATAAGCAGACATCAACCTACTCATTACCTTTTAAAATGAGCATGATATCCTAGTATATAATTAATGTCTTACCCTAGAGCTCAAGAGCTGCCTACCTTTAGTACCTGTATGGAAGTTCCTGTTCTTGTGCTAAGTTTTTCAGTACCCAGACTGAATAATCCAGTCTTTGGGAAGCTGCGTCCCGAGAGATGTTAGGAACAAATACATACCTACACAAGCTATTACGATCTTGTTTATTCATGTTTCTGCAACCATACGTATGACGCTTCACTGTGAAAGCCTAGAGTGAAATCGGCCCATCACCCTACAAGATGCTCCGACTTCAACCTACGACGATCAAGATAGCCACACGCGATATTAGCGACGCTGAGCGCCGAAGCCGCTACAGGAAGCACCTAATCAGTCGCCAGAAGGTCGATAAAAGACGCGATGATCTCATCCAGCATGATCAAGAAGCTGTACTTGAAGATGCCCTCAACTCCAGGATCGTAACACCAACCACTGACTCTAGCATTGGACACGACACGCCAGGTTCAGATGGTAGAAACGAGTCAGACGGTGAAGAGGAATTAGGAACACGAGTTCCCCAGCTAGACTACGGTACCGCCAGTTCCGAGGAGACCACCTACAGGGACGTTGATCATGGCATCAACCGCCTGCACCGACAACCAGACCAACATCGACTTCCTTTCCGCCCGCGGCAAAGCTTGGGTAAGCCAACAGACAAGCAATGGCGAGATACGATCGGAACTGAGGTGCTAACAATTTGAAGATGACTATGGAGATGCGGATACCGCGCCCGCCCACACGCAACCGTACGATAATGGTAGGGATGGTTCCGTGACGGATGAGGATGAACGCGACACGATAGAACAACTTTTGGCAGCAACTGTGAGGGACACTTGCCCAACCGAACTCCTGTCACTGTCATTATTATCGGGATATGTATCCATGAAACCCCCTTGAATTGCATGGATTGTGGCGAAATGAAAGATAAGTACGCATAGGCTAATGGGCATTTATTTAGCTGGACGGATCAACGTATGAAACGGAAGAAGTTAACGACGACCTCTCGCAGAGCCTGGGAGAAGTTGTAGAAACCCCCGAAGATGCTGGTGAGCTTTCAATCTCACCGGCTGACGAAGGGTTTGAGCCTATGACACCCCAAAGATATTTTCCTGTTTACAGTGATCGCCTGTCCGTTGAAGAACAACCCCAAACTCCAAGACAGCTTCCAGAAGCGCGCCATCAAAGCAGGTTTGATGGAGCTTACACGGCGCCAGTTCGAGGACGGCGAGTGAGAGTCGAAATTGACGACGCACCAGTGACAGTAAGGAGAAGGCGTGCTGGACGCAATACTAGCCTAGTAGGGTTGAGAACACCAGGATTTCAGGGTTTGTATGGAGGCAGTGAGAACGCCGACGATGTGTAATGTGATTTGCCGACAGACATCCGTGGTGATGTCAGGTGGTCCAGAATCATCGGCAAATGCAAGGAGTACGAGGATCAGTCTTGCTAACACAAGATAAACGGAGCATAATATTACGGTGGACTGCTGGTTTTGCTGATCAAGCAGGGTGTTGGTTGAAGTTATTAACTCAACACCTTCCTTACCTTACCTTGCGTTATTAGTTTGTTACTGAATCAGGATAATCAATTGTTCATGAAGTTCGTTACCAAGACGATGTCATGGAATTAAAGGAGCATTCCTCCCTTGGGTCTTGCTTCTCCATTAGTGAGTGATGGAATATCGGTGATAGTTCCTTTGTGATCCGTTTGGGACAACGGGCGCGGACATGGATCTGTCCTCACAAACTCGGGCAGGTTCGAATTTTCAGTTGGTCCGGCTCCGGGGGGCTCTAGATCCAGCCATTCGCGGCAACGAAAATTCCAGTTTTGTCAGACTGGATGTGCCTGGCTTGGCTGTGGCCACCTCAGGCACCAGGAGACGGACAGCAGAAAGGCACTGGACATCCGGCGTTCTATTCCATTGATCCACTCATTTCACTTGCTACTACGGAGTAGGTATACTAACTACTTAGGTATTTACTACCTAAGTAAGGTTTTTCACTAAGCAAAGTACGTACCGGTTGAAACCGGCTCGGAACTACAAACTTCCAACACGAGTGATTCATTGGAAGAGAAGATCAGGGTAGAAACAAAAACTGACTCGGGCTGGGCGGAAGCCCGGGTGGATCTCTTTGCGTCCCATCGGAAAAAGATTGGTCAATGTCTAGCTGCGGATCAGAAGCAAAAAAAACTTGGCTGAAATGGGGGCTCGGCTCTGAGGTATGATTGCTGAGCGTGCTCAGAGTGGCACCAGGCAACTAGAGTCAAGTCAAAACGTTGTCCATCCAACCAGGTAAAGGCTCAAGACATGCTGAAGACCCGCCCAGACGCCATGCCCCTTACGGCAGAGAGACCCCTAACAATTACGCAACCCAGAAGGGGTCAAACGCGAATTAGAGCTGACCATTAGACAGTACGTACCTGACGCTGCGAGGTGCCTTAGCTTCAAGCTAGACCACTTTTAGGGCCGGGAGGTTTGCGATAAGCTGATGGCGTGCATACCGTGTGCGAACTGTCTTGCACTGACCCCAGCTGCAGCTTGCCGAATCCGATACAAGCTGCTGATGCTGCCCCATGGTTGTTTCGGGTGTACGGGTATCTTCTCAGAGTATCTATACACGGCGTTCGCCGTTCGCGAGACCAACGCACAGTGTCAACTCCAGTAGCTGTTAGAGATCGGAGTGAGGCTGCATGGGTTGGGTGGGTGCGTTAAAGAGCAAGAGAGCACCTCAACCTGGGGTAAAGAGCCACTCACACTTTCACACCCCTTCTTCGTCTCTCTACCTACCGACCTACTGTACCTACCTATCCAACTGTACTCACAAGTTCTTTCCATTTGAGCAGTCCTCCCCTCGCATTCTTTTACAGCTTTTAATCCTCCTTCTTCCGCCCCATCGATTTCCTCCTCCTCTCCCTCTCTTCACATATCCCATCCATCTCAGGACACAGCAACTCCAAAAGTCATTCCCCTCACGACTTGTCTTAAACCACATCCACTTAGTACCTACCTCATTATCCACCCTCTCATCCTCACCTTCGCGTGCGTACCTTGCCCTCGTGCCTCGTCCTGGCCGCACCCATCGCGTTCTTCCACTGCTTCTCTCTATCTCATCGTCACTTATCAGGCTCCATCTCGCCGACGCCCTCCTTACCTCTTCTCTTGAGCGAACTCATCATCACCGCGTGTCCCGGAGACTATACGCTATAGATGGTTTGTGACAACACTGACTACTAACCTTGCAAACATTCCCAGTTTCCCATCACAGATCAGAACAGGACAGAACAGAATACGCTTTTCAAAATGTCGTACTTCAGTTCTCAGTTCTCTTCCTCTCCCGTCCTCACCATGTCTCCCCAACATGCCCACCAGTCAATGGGTATGGCAAGCTTCGGACACCACACACCACCCCGATTTGCACCTCTGCCAAGCCAGTTCGCTGCTCAGCCTGTTCGACCTTCTGCAGCTGGTAGAAAGCGTTCCCGGGACGAGGCCTCTGAAAACCTTGAGCCTGACATGAAGTCCCTGCCCGTTGAAGAGCCCGAAGAGGAATGGATCTACGGCCCTGGCATGACCCTCATCAAGAAGAGTACTCGCTACGTCACAGACGCTAGCAGTCAATCCGGCACCTGGGTTGAGGAGAAGAAGGCTGCTGAAGAGGCCGCCATCAAGGAGGCGCGCTCTCTGATCAGAAACCCCAAGCTGCAGCGCGTATCACCCACTCTATCCAGAGCACCTGCAGCCAGCACTTCTCCTCTCCAGCCTGAAGTCAAGCCTGCTATTGATGGCCCCGTTGTCGATAACTTCACTCTGCACCTTGGCATTGGCTGGCGAAGAATCAGTGAAGAAGAGCACATCCAAGCCGCTGCTCGTGGTTGGGCTCGCTACATAGAGAACCACTTCCCTGTTTCCAATGCTCGAATCCTTCTTGAGAGCAACGGTCTCCAGTCGTATCTGGTGGAGACTAACGAGGGCTTCTTCCTATTTGCCGAGAACCTCCGTCAAGGCCAACTTGTCAGCCAGAATGCCGAGGGCGTACTCCGAAATCTTCAATGCTCTCCTCCTATTTTTGACGGAATGGAGGTTCTTTCAGCAGCCGAATCACCGCGACCAACCAACGCCGTCCCTGATATGGACATGAGAATGGACTAGAGAAACCTCGTCCGGGAACATTTCAAATTTTCTTGATGCATCTTGTACTTGCTATTTACGGAGTTACGTGTTTGCCATGCTCATGGACTGGGACTGGGAATGGGAAAGGAGCCTTGGGATGGACGGTAAAGAAAGGCTACCGAGAGCGAATGCCATAGACCGGATAGTCATGGTTTGATATCATTTGTTGCAATTTACACCATTAAACGACAACTTGATGTCGAATGTGCCTTTACTGTGAATGCTTTATATTGAACAGAACATTTCTGTGGCTTTGTGTAAATTGTGCAGTTGTGTTTGTGGGACAGTCGGAGAAAAACTCCCGCCCGCTAATAGATGCGCGTTTGTTACGGGCGTCATTTTCGCGAGCAAGACAATACGACGCGACACCCTTGACCTGGGTTCGCCTAGCTCGGGCTCGGGCTTGCATCTACATTATGTATTATGTCCACACGCAGGAAGCAAACATCATGGGCGCCAGGATTGGAAAGGGCCGGTTTGATGGGTTCCTCGCATAGCACGATGCATTGGATACATTTGGATGGCATTGTCCCTGAGATGCTGGAAGCACCGCTAAATAACGGAACACACAACCAATACTCATCCAACAAATGACAGCCAATGCAGGCTATGAAGTGGCTTGAAAAGTCACTTCTTGAGCTGCAACAAAGCCCAATGTCTTGACTTGGACCTGCAGCTCTTCTCATGCGGCTCAGGCATAATTCTGTGCCAACACTTGAGATCCGTTTCAATGAAAACACGATAGTTGGTGCGCTTATCATGATAGATTAGTCAGTAGGTGTCTAGACTATCTAGCTGTGTGCACCATATCTCGATCAATAAAATAACTGAAGTAAACTGAAGCATAGCCAACCTTCTCCTAGAATGCTCTAATACACACAGTACAAGCATGGCCGTGCCATAAGGTATGTGGTGGTGAACCTAGGTATGCTATGGTGGTGTAAATAAATAAATGGCTCTTGATAGACATTTCTGCACGGCATCATTTGACTTCTCCTGAAATCAACCATTTGAATTGCATACCTAGGTACCATGGCTCTTCTGCCTCTTGAGGACTGAATCGAGAGCCTGTTCAGAGCGGGGGCTTTACTCCCTGTCTCTTGAACTGGTCCTCCCAGTACTGAGACACCATTTATAAGAACAGCCGAATTATACTGTTGAACTTGATAGGGCATATATATATATGTACTCCGTATCATATCCATTTCACTGCTGCCTTTTCCCTTCTTCGTATCGTTTAAATGGAAGCCTACTAACCTTGGCTTGACCTGGACTGGACTGGACTGGCTCAGGGGAAGCATGTCTCCAACCTCCTCCATTGAGATTGAGCTTGGCCGAGGTATTTTCTTGAGGTGGCCAGATAAGGACACAACTCTTGAGTACCTGGTCGTCGCAGGGCACACCTGTGCTATTTTAGGTATCTTAGCCTGTTCAACTATCATCTCGATACCTCATATACATCATTTGTCAAGTTGCACCAACTCTCGGAACCTTTAGGACAGCCCATCCGTCATCAAGTTACGTTAGTACCTACGTACCTAGGTATAGTAGGTTCATCGACAAGGTAACTTCCATCTACAACATCATCCATCACTTCCAGTCGGCGATGGATTCCCAATAAAGTATAATCTCTCTTCTTGTCGGCAGATTCAGACCAGAGCTATACAATCATCGTAATCTTTTTTTCTTTTTCTTTTTTTTTTTTTTTTTTTTTTTTTTTTTTTTTTTTTTTTTTTGGCGCCTGTGGTCGTAGGCCCCAAACTGAGAACAGCTCCATCTAATTGATTGATCATTATCCACCGCATCGTTGCCCATCGCAGCGCATCGCAGTCACCAACCATGTCGAGCGCCAATCAACTCTTCCTGCTCGCCGACCACATTAAGCTCTCGCTGTTAGAGCGTCAACGGGCTAAGAATCTTAATCTTGAAGGCGACTCGCAAGATGGTCACATCTCACGATCTTTTGACCAGTTCCGCGATGGCCTGGCCAATCTCCGCGATGAGGAGCAGCGCTTGACTTTTGCCGGCGAAACAGAGTAGGCCCTTCTCTCAACGTATTAAACACCATATTCAATGCTGATCTGGTTCCTCAGCGCCGCTACAAGCCTCACAGAATCCATCACATCGCTCCAGAAGCAACTAGACGACCTCACAACTCAATTCCAAGGCCAACCAAACTCCAAAACTGCCGAAACCCTCACTCACCCCAACTCGGAAGAGCTCGCCGACGACTTTGAGCACGCAACCTCAACATCTCCAGTCTCAAGGAAGCCAAAGACTGTTCGCTTCAGCGACACCCCTTCTTCGCCGTCCGCTGAGCTCTTTGGCCGTTACCGCGATGATCCCTCCGATAGCGCCGGCTACCGAGACGAGGCACAGGGCATGGACAACCAGCAGATTCACCAGTACCACGCCCAGATCCTAGAACAACAAGATGAGCAGCTTGATCGCTTGGGCGAGTCTATCGGACGCCAGCGCGAGCTTAGCATGCAAATCGGCGACGAGCTCGATAGTCACGTTGCTATGCTCGACGAGGTTGAGGCTGTTACCGATCGTCACCAGAGCCGACTGGATCGTGCGAGTAGAATGCTTGGAAAGGTCGCTCGAGGCGCAAGCGAGAACAAGCAAATGACCACCATCGTGGTTCTCATCATCATTCTTGTCTTGCTCATTGCTATCCTGAAATAAGGTACACCATGCTTGTCTCTCATCTTCTTTCCATCCATCTCAAAAAGAAACAGCGGGCTTAGCGCATTGGTTGGAGTTCTCGGAGTCGTTTGCTTGGGCGTTATCATGGCATCTACCTGCCTTACACTTTAATATGTTTTTGCTCCTTTACTTCAGTGCAACAGTGGACAGTTGACCTTTTCTGCGACTCACTTCCTGTAAATACGCAGCAATACTTGACCAAGTTTAAAGAATAGAGACCAGCCTAGGTTCCTCATCTTATCATTTTATCATTCTCAGAGTAAAAGCTACCTACCAATCCTGAACATAACTTGTAGTCTAGACAATTCTCCTCAGGCAGAGATTCTATCGGACAAGGAAAGAAGAAAGAAATAAAGAAAGCAGTTCATCGGATTACGTCTCCTTCTTTGTCAATGCCTTCAAGCCCCTCCAGGATATCGCTTCCTGCCAGAATACCCGTGGCGCCCACGGTCACGCCTCGTTCTCGCGACCATACCTCATGAAACTTTATGCTCTTGTCACTCGATGCAACAATAATGCACCCTTCCTTTCCTCCTGCTGGTGCGGTTGGGTCATCAGAGGTCGGTCCTCGAGGGTATGAAATGGCATACAAGGCCCGCAGATCGTCCTCCCAAGGAATTGCTGCAACCTGTTTGCACTCCGGCCAGCTGAAAACGCTCACACGATAGGGGTGTTCCGGTGAAGCATACCCGAATGTGGCGGCAATCTCTCTGCGTGTTGTGTTCCAGATGAGCGAGGTTACCTGGGCCGACACTGATATCGTTGCGAGAGCTGCTCCGGATGGTGTATGGAAGAAGTGGATGCACTTGTCGTTAGAGCCACCTCCTGTTGCCACCAACTCTCGCCTCCAAGGGCAAAAAGCAATGGCTTTTACAGCAGCATCGTGGTTCCAATGATGCTTCGCGATAGCAGGGCCAAGATACCGAACGGTGTCTGTTCCAGTCGGAAGCGGCTGTAGCTGTGCCCTGAACGCCCTCGCGGGCATATCGTCGTCCCCATCGACGCTCAACAGCCGTGTAACTCTTGTCTCAATGCCACCATACGTGCTGCCCGCCTCTATACGCCCTCGAACACCATTTGCCCCAGGGGCTTGCTCAGTTCGTCGCCCAGAGACTTGATCAGCATCGAAAAGACAGCAGAGATTGTCGTTTCCACCTGAGGCGAATAGCCGACCATCGTATGACCATGCAAGACCGCATACTTGCTGACAGTGAATATTGCTGATCTTGGCTACCAACGATACTGCACCGGGCCAAGTGTCCCGCGTGACTTCCCAGCCTATCGGCCATTCCACAACGTAGTAGTAGATATTGCCCATCTCATCCCCAACTACCAAGTCTTCCGTCAGAACTTCGACCCCTAGGTTCGTGGGGTTTTTGGAAGGTCGCAAAGTACAAACTGGACGCCAGCTCACACAGGAGATAGGAAAGGCCTGGCGAATCTCGAATCGTGGTAGTGTATCAAAGAGAGATTGGAAAAGCACACTCCCGTTGGAGTGCCCGATCCCAAGCACAGCTTTGCCTCCAGGAGTTGATGAGAAAGCAACCGACGTCAACTAGGTATCGGAATGTGTTCCATGGATCAGCTGCACGCCCCGAAACTCAGACCAAGAATAAAGAAGGCTCCCCAGGCAGACAACAAGAGTTTGCGCGGTGTATGAGTACGCCAGCGGTGAACAGTAGAAGTCATCCTTTAGATTTGGGGCATCCAGTACTCTGTAGACCATCAGCTCAGCTCCTTTGAACACTTAGACTTACCAACCTGAATGGAGCAGCCGGTAGAAGTCGCCTCTTTGCTGGCCTAAGAGGAACTGTTTATGGTCAAATATGATTTTAATAGGCTAGCAATTTCAACTTACTTGACCACTGCTCTTTGTTTGCCCACTGATATCCGTTCCAACTTGTGTGACTAAAGTCCGCATGAAAACCGTGCTGTTTAATGTTCCGAGGGATTTGCTGAGCCCGTGCGAACTCGAGGATCTTTCGTACTTGGTCAATGTCGAGAGCCGAAGCGATGCGGCCTTCGTGCTTCTCCTTCTCGACTGACGTGCTGACAAGACTTTCCTGGAAGAGGGTGGGAAACACACGAGCGTTGGTCCCACGTCTGACGAGATGCCCCTGTCCATCATCGGTAGCGATTGCATTAGGCGCAAGACCACCAACCGACCACATGGCTCCCATACTAACTTGACGATCTCCTCCTCGGTTCTGTGGTAGTTGTCCAAGAGCTATACCTAGTGATGAGCTGGTTAGATGAAAACAAGGAAAAAGAAGTAAAACACGTTGGATGCCAAACCTCTGTCCAGATGACTGTCATCAACTCGGAAAGGAAAACGGGGATCGGGGTCCATCACACGACGTTTTAGAACGAATGGATCTGCTGAGGCACTCTTGTCACGCCTCAGACGCTCATCTCTCGACAAATCCTGGCTTTGCTTTGTTGTTCGGTATCTCTCGGATGATGGGGAAATGGGATCACGTCTCGGGACATATCTGTCTAGATGCTGTATGTTTGGGTCAATGCGTTTGTCTTGGAGGGGGAAACGTCTGGAGCTTTTCGAGTATAAAAAGGGGGAAATCACATCGGCCTTCCCTTTTGGATGACGCGTTTCTGGTGTTTTGGGAGGCTCGGCCGCGAGTCCTGTTTTGCTCGATGCTGGCGGTTTTTTCTCTTGGTTCTCAAGCGATTTGACTGGAATTTCATCCGGCCCTGGCCCATCGAAGGAAGGAAAACAGCGTTTGCGAAGATTCGGGCAGAGCCCAAAGACTTCATCTGCGGAGCTATAGCCCGAATCCGGCGAGTTTATCGACTGACAAGACAAGTCTGCCCCGCTAGTTCTTGGAAGCAGTCGAGGACGTCGAGGCGGTTGTCGAAACATCCTTGTATATATCGAATTCTCGACAAGTTCCGGATGTATGGCCCCTGAAAGTCGGGGACATGAAGAAACGAATGAACTATTGTACGATAACCTGAACAATACTGCCACGATAGACAGAACTTTCCCTCGGCGAAATTACCTACCTTGTTGAGATGGTGAGTTTTATTGATGCTTGGAAGAAGAATTCCGTAGGGAAGAGAGGCAAAGGTGAAGTGAGGATGTAGAGAGGAGTTTGGGTGGAGGGGAAGGAGTCATGCTAGAAGCACCTAATGTCTTGCCCTACCTTAGTTGATCACAAATTGGAAGTCGTAGAATCGGCGACACTTACTTAGAATGACCAAAGAGATTAAAGCTTGAGGTAATCATGATATTGCTGCTCCGTGGTCTCACGACGTGCCTGTTCGAAGATAAAGATCCAGCATCTTTCAGGTATTACAGAGAGCCATATGATCTTGGTAACGAATTTATTTAATAGTCAATAATCAGCAGTGTTTCGAGCCTAGGACCTCATGGCTCGTCCAAACTCCGTGGTGAATCTTGTAAGATCGAGCCAGCTCAGACATATTCCTCACCCATCTTTGTCGCAATATTGTCAAAGTACGAATTCGTGTAATCCAGCCAGTTCTGTGTCGTTTCCAGGGTTCCCAAGACGCAATAGCTTGTGCCGATAAGGGAATCACCTCCCTTCTTGTCCGCAGAAGCCTCCCAGAACATGGTTCCGCCAAGACCATGCTCCAGCACGTATTCTGCCTTCTCCTGAACCACGCTGGGAGTATCGTAGGAGATGAATTCGTGTTTTCTCTCGTCGTAACTGAAAGAAGCATGGGCTATTGGATCGTATATGATTGTAGCTCCTTCCTTGGGAAGTGCCTTGTAATCCCAGACGCCTTGCTGCCCCCAGGAGCCCTTACCAACACTACCAAAAGTCTTTCCAAGGCCCAAGTTCTCTTCAAAGGAGCGGCCGAAGACAGGGATGCCGAGGACAATCTTTTCAGCGGGCACCCCGGATCTAAGATAGTCCCCGATAGCATAGTCTGTATTGATCGCTGTTTCGAAGCTTTCATTGAGGGTGTAGTCGAGATTGAGCTTTGTGACAGGACGTTTGTACGGGAACAGGTTGGCGTTATGGCCACTGATGTGATCCCAGCTTCCAGAGTAGTCATAAGCCATGAGGTTGATTTGGTCAACAATTCCGCTCATATGGTTCAGTTGAAGCTTTAAGTAATGCTCAGGAGCAGCTGGGGCGGCAGTAGACAGTAGGAAATGATGACCAGAGGCGTATTTTCCTGCATGTATGTCGAGCTCATTCCGTATAGCCTGAAGGAGGAGGACTAAATTAGTAGCATCTATTTCATCATTTGGAAATTCCCAGTCGATATCGATACCGTCGAAACCCCAATTCCACATCAGGTCGACTGAAGTCGAGGCAAATCTGGCACGGTTGTCAGGTGTGCTTGCGGCCGAGCTGAAGTTCGCAGACCCGGCCCCCGACCCGCCGATGGAGAGCAGAGTCTTGAGCTGACGATTGGATTTCTTCAACAGGAAAAGTTGCTTCACACATCCGTACGCATTTCTTTTATGTTCATCGTAGCCTATTCTGTCGTCAGCTGTGAAGCTAAGGTAAGAAGGCAGACTCACTGTCTCCGTTAAATTGTGCCACAAAGTCGGCATATTCGTCTTTGGAGTATCTCATGTTTGATTAGCCTGATTTGGGTGTTGAGGTCATACCACGTTCCGCTTACACTGTTCCGTCGGGTTTGACACCCAAGAATGCGTAGAGTAAGTGAGAGATTTGGGATACATCCATATGCTGAGGGTAAAAGCCTCTGTCATAAATGCCCCTGACAGTGTTAATAAAGTGCTATGCTTAATAAAGCGAGATCACAAACCAGTTGATGAAATAAACAGCGTTCGCGTGTCCTCCTGGGGCATACTCTGGTGACCGGAGAGAGTGACCAGTACGGGATGCGTGGCACGGCCGAGTTGCGAGAAGAATGGCAACAACCGCCAGGCGGTGGAGAAACGACAGCATACCTAATTCGCCTTTATTGATGAGAAGCCGAGTATCAGTATTTAGAAAGAATCAATGTTGGAGATGAAAGGAGTAAATTTTGTTGACTGCGTTGAGAACTGAGAGGCAAGTTGATTGATATATAAAGAGCGAAGCGGGAGAGGACTAACTCCAAGGGAAGGAACACTCGAGGTACCATTTCCAGACTCCCAAATTACGGAAGGAAGGTACGAAAGGCACAGATACTGAAGTCCTTATCTCCCTTAGTAGGTAGGTTAGTACCTAGGTGGTTCTGTTATAAGGTAGGTGGTATAGTAGGTTGTATCTAAGGTAAGGTAAGGTACTACCTTAGTAGGTACTTAGATACTGAAGCATCGTGCAATGGTGCGAACCTTAGTATTTACCTACCTTGGTATGTACGCCTACCACGCTGATTTGATGTCTCTGTAACTCGAACTTGAGTCGGGCAGGACAAGTTTCTGCATCACATGGACGTTGTGTAAAGTGTCAGTCGACGATACTGTATCACAACATCAAGTGAAGTACCTAGTATGAATTCATTTAAGTGCATGTTGTGGTGTAGTCCTTACTAGGGTATTCTATTCAGTCTGAGCTAAGGTATTATCTATCCTTTTGTCATATGCAATCTCTTCCAAGGTCAACCTAGGTCTTTGCAACCAACTACATCTGTAGGCAGGCACTCAACTATAGCAGTCATCATTCTTCGTGTCTTTGGTGTAGAGGTATGATAGCGATAAGTTATATCCATTTTCCTCATTACACCATGCTCCATGCCAGGGTCGACCTTGAAGTGCATGAAGCCCAACACAACACGGTGACGCCGTGCGTCGTGATCTACATATAACTTCAATATTCGTGACTCACATTGGCTAGGTCTGCAGCAACATTATTCTCGTTTGCACCGGATCACCGACTTATAGGTTTCCCTTGGACGACTCTTCGCTCTGATATCAATCGATCAATTACGAAGCAAGGAACGACAAACAGCCCTCGATAGAGATTTCTTGTACTCTTCTGTTGGATTATGACCCCGTGATTTCTCCCTGTAAGATTTGTCATGCTCTGTATCCCTTGTTGCGGTCACGCTCGTTTTGTCAGCTTCCTAGCATACTTTTGAGGCCAGTAAATATACTTTACTCTCAAGCCGATTGATGGATATTTGAAAGTAAATATTGACACCGGTAGATCGTACCAAGCAAGTCATTTAATGTTTGTTGCAGCTCTGAGGTAGGTTTCTGGGTAAGTCAAGGATATCGCAACACAAAGACATTAATATTCCACATCACGCTACCCTACACTCTTACGCGGGGTCATATCGTCCAGCTCAGCAGTAAAACATTCACAAGTCTCCACAAACCCATCGCGAACAACGATCAAGGCTAAATCAACAAGCCGAGGCTCTTCAGGATGACCAGTGTTAGTCTCGGACCCCCCCAACAAACTAGTCCACCGTAACTGATGCTGATCCCAAGGCTTGCAGCACGGCATAGCCCGCGCTGCGCGGTCACGGACAGAAGAACAGCGCCAGCAGGATCTCGTCAGGATCCAAAAGTACCGTGGTCTCGAGGACGATATACGCCAACAGGTTAGTTCTAGCCGAACATGCAAGGTCGTGTTTCTCACGCATATGCAGATATCCGACAACAACTACGGTGCCGAAACATTCCAGCTTACATCGAAGCTGCTACGCCTCAACCCCGAATATTACACGATATGGAACGCCCGCAGGCGCTGTCTAATATATGGCTTATTGTCCAAACCCTCGGCTGGATCGCCGCACTCGAAGGAGTCGCAGAATACCTCAGCGATAGGCACTCACACAGCCTCTTCCGACGCTTCATTGCCCTCCTCCTCGACCGAGATCCCGCCACGCCCCGGCCCCCCGACAGCTGGGAAGACTGGTACAACGACTGATAGCGATGGCGATACCGACGTGATACGCTCCGAACTGGGCTTCACTGTTCCCCTGCTGATGGAATTTCCCAAGTGCTACTGGATATGGAATTATCGACTATGGACGCTTGACCGCGCCATCGAAAGACTTGACGTATCTATAGCTCGGCACATTTGGGAAGAGGAACTAGGCCTTGTCAGCAAGATGCTCACTAAAGACCGACGAAACTTCCACGCCTGGGGCTACCGTCGCCACGTCGTAGCGCAGCTTGAGAGCTCCGTGCTCAACGGTCAGAGCCTGGTAGAGCTCGAGTTTGAGTATACCACCAGAAAGATCCATGAGGATCTGTCCAATTTCTCAGCATGGCATAACCGAAGTCAGCTCATTACAAGGCTTCTGAATGAGCGCAAAGCAGACGACGCGTCTCGCAAAGATTTACTGGACAAAGGTTTGTTTTGTCCTGCAATATATTGCACAATCGCTAATCTGGACTAGAAATTGAGCTTATTCGCGAAGCGCTGAATGTTGGACCCGAAGACCAGTCTTTATGGTACTATCACCAGTTCCTAGTATTGAACCTCGCAAATCCTTCATCAACCCGCCAAATAGCGCCAAATCTGACGATGGAGGAGCGCAAGTCATACATTTACGATGAAGTCACCGAAATCAAGGATCTACTACAAGACTACAAGGACATAAAATGGATCTACGAGGCTCTTATTGAGTACGCAATCGCATTGAACCAACTCACGGGGCAGCCATTCGAGCCTGAGAGTCGAAGTGATGTGACATCTTGGTTACAGATTCTCAGGAAATTAGACCCTAAACGAAACGGACGGTGGAGTGATTTGGAAAAGGACTTAGGCTCACCGCAGACATGATTCTGAACCCATTAACTATCTAATATATGTATGCCACACGTCGTTAGACCATGATGTACGGTGTAGCATTAAATTCGTTGATAACCCCTATCACCGAAAATTTGTGAACGCAAATGTTTCAAGTCCTCCAGTATTGGTATCAATGTGCCCGTTAAACGAAAACCTCTTACACGCTCTCTAGACTCTTGGATGC